AAAAGTACAACCACAACCACAAATCCTTTGCACAAAATATTTGGGGTCGGCTATAGGACTCCTACTCTTCCATTGAATTCTGTTGAGGACTATCTCCTCCTACTTTGTAACATTTGCTAACCAAGTGCTCTTAGGCCCACCTAGCTCCAGTTTGTCTGTAGAGAACCAATTTTATCAAAGGGGAAAAAACAAAGAAAATGAAGAGTTTCATAACTGAAGGTAGTAAAGAGTTATAATTGGGTTATTGCGTTGTTGTAATTACAATTAATATGGGAGTTTAGAAATTCAAAAGCCATAGAAACTTTCAGAAAACCCAAAATCCCCAAATCTTCAGTTTACAAGAAAAAATGGGAAAAAAAGGAAGCGAGATCAGAGAGAGGAAGAAGGCAGGAATAGAGCTCAAAGAGGTAGAGATTTTCTTCTTTTCTTCTCTTAGATTGGTTTATATAGAAAATAAAAGGCAGAGATTTTCGACTACCGATGTCATCTCTGGCAATGTCCAATGACCTTCGGCCAAGCCTTGAGGGTCTCGCTGGAGGTGGTAACCCAGGTCGCCGAGTCTTAATTAAACCCATTTGAGTTTAGATGTAGACAACAAACTGACCCAAGGAAGAAGAAAAATAAAATTATTGTTAGGCCCTAGAAATATGAAAAATTAGTTTTGGGTCCAAAACCTATAAAGAGATGTTTCTGTATGAAACTTATTTAATGAAAAGATTTCTTTGAGCCCTTAGTTAAATAAAGTTTACAATTAGATTCTCTAAAATAAAGAATAGAAACAAGTTTCCGAAAAATCCTAGAAACTACAAACCTTAGTAGTATGCCCAAAATACTTTGTAGACGAATCTTTTGTATTAGATATTTATGCATATCTTATGCTTATAGGTTTGATTGAAGAATAGGTTCTTGAAGTACGGTTCTCCAAAGTGTTGTCATATTTCTAAAGGTGAGTAGATTTCTTGTCATAAGTTATTTTCCTATATTTATTCATGTATAAGTATTAGTATGGTCCAAATAGTAAACTTTTTATGTATATTTAAATGATGGATCAGACATGTATATTTTGTGTGCATATATGATAAAGTGTGTTAACGTTTTAGTTATTATTATAACTATTTTTAATGAAACTTGTTTAGTGTATGTAATATGTACAAAAAGACATTTCTCAAGCTATTTGGATAAATTCCTATCTGATATTTATTTTGGTAAAATCTTATAAAGTATTTCTTTAAATATTTTTGTTCAAATGGCATTTACAAAAACTTTGATTCATTCTTCAAATATTCTAAATAACGATTAGTTTGTTATACGAGAAAAATGAGAATACTGAAAGTGAAGTGCTTTGTCATCTGATAATGTCTTTTCAAGTAAATTATTTTTAAACGCAAAAAATCCTTAGAAGTCCGCTATGAAGTGAAGTGAATTATTTTAGCCTACCATATGGTATTGAATGTACCGATCAGTTTTAACGTGGCATTTTTGGTAAAAGTGAAGTGGCTTCCTGGCAACCTATGATATCATTCCAGAGATGGATTGGTTATCTAGAAATCATGCATTTATTTTATGTCAAGAGAAAAAAGTGGTGTTTAGAATTCCCGATCAATCGGAGTTATGATTTGAGAGCAGTAAGGTGCAAAGCCTATGCGAATTATATTAGCCATTGAAGCTCATCGCATGTTGAAAAGTGGGTGCATTGATTTTCAAGCATTAGTACAAGTCTTGAGCCAGAAAGAAGTTAGTCTGGATCAAATTCCTATCGTGCCTGAATTTTCATGTCTTTCCAAAAGATATCCCCGGAATGCCACCCGAGAGGGAAATATAATTTTCTATTGAACTAGTTCCATACGCAAGTCCGATCTCAAAGGTCCCTTATAGAATGGCTCCAGCAGAACTAAAAGGACTTAAGGATCGGTTGTAAAAATTTCTGGATAAGGGGTTTATTGGACCCAGTGTTTTACCTTGGGGCATACCGATGTTATTGTGAAGAAAAATGGTAGCATGCGATTATGTATTGATAATCGGGAGCTCAATAATGTGACTATAGAGAATAAATATTCGTTACCAAGGATTGACGATTTGTTCGACTAATTGCAAGGAGCTTAGGTATTTTCCAAGATCGACCTTCGATCGGGCTATCATTAATTGAAGATTAAGGTTGAAGACATTCCAAAGATTGTATTTCGTATCCGTTATGGTCATTATGAATTTCTTGTGTTAAACATTTAGGTTAACGATGCACCTACATTTTTCATATACCTCATGAATAGGGCGTCCAAATCTTTCTTAAATCATTTTGTGGTGATATTTATAGATGATACATTGATATATTCAAAGAACTAGAAGGAGCATGAGGAACATCTACGGTTTGTGCTTGGTGTTTTGAGAAGGTAAAGCTCTATGCAAAATTTAAGAAGTGTGGGTTTTGGTTTGATAATGTGTCTTTTTTAGGACATGTTATTTCAAAGGATGGAGTCTCGATAGACCTAGCAAAGATTGAAGCAGTTGTGAATTGGAAAAGACCAACAAGTGTTCATGAGATCCGCAACTTTCTTAGCATGGCGGGTTATCATCGGAGATTCGTAGAGGGGTTCTCTCGTACTGCGTCAGCTTTGACCTGCTTGACTTAGAAGGGAATCAAATTTGTTTGGTCTGAAGAATGCGAAAGGAGTTTTTAAGAGTTAAAGAACCGACTAGTATCTGCACCAGTTCTCAATATACCCATCACAAGAGAAGACTTTACTGTTTATAGCGATGCCTCTCATAAAGGTTTGGGATGTGTGATCCTGC